TAAACACCCTGGCAAAATTATATATTTTATTTCATCCATGAAATCAATGGAAAATTTTAATGTAGCTTCTCAGTAAATGAATAAGACAATAACATTTTTTAGTGTAAAAGCTATCTGAAAGTAGCTAATAAACTATTTTTAAGAAACATAAATATGAATCTTGTGTCTGAGGAAAAAAAATATTTTGTTTTTAATCACATATAATGAAACCTAGTTGAACTGGAACTGAGGTATTACATTCAGCTGCATCAGAGAAACGCCCATGATCTTCCACACAGGAAGAAGGTGCTTATTCTCCCATGAAAGGCTGGGAGAGCAGTTACTGCACAATCAGTGCAGCAGAGGAACAAACTCTTTATAGTCAGCTTTGCACTGCTGTGACCAACATACCCAACAAGAATAACTCAGGAGGAAAATTTTATTCTGGCTCACCATTTCAGAGTTTCAGTCCATGGCTGGACAATTTCATAGCTCTGGGCCTGAGGTGAGGCAGAACATCAAGGCAGAAGGGTGTGGTGGAGGGAAGCAGAAAGAACTTGAATGCAAGGAGCCAGGAATATTATTACTCTCCAGGGCAGGCCCCCAGTGACCTGCTTCCTGCAGTCATGCCCTTCCTGCCTACATTCAAATTACTAACCCAACTGGTTAATCCACAATTAGGCCACAGCTCTTAAAAATAGAATCATTTCACCTCTGAACATTCCTACATTGTCACACATGAGCTTTCACATCCAAACCATAATAAACTCTCATCCAGTGGGTTTTGCTAGCATCCTTGTAGCTGTCATGCTCAATCAAGAACACTATCACTATCCCCACGAACAAAGATACCTGACATACAAATTAGATCTTCTCAGAGTCTAGACTTAGGACTTGAAAGAAAATCCAAACTGCAAGGTGGATTTTTTTTAACACATAGTTCAGGGGCCTGTTTTTAGGAATGAGCCACTGGTAGACATAATACATTTATGATTTTATAACATTTCCTTTGGGTTGTATATTTTCTGGAGCATTAAATACCAATTACAAATTACACTGGGCATTTTCAGATTACTTTTTTGGGGGGTGGGTACTAGAAACTAAACTCAGGGGCACTCAACCACTAAGCCACATCCCTAGTGCCCCACCCCATTTTTTGTTGGTTGGTTGGTTGGTTTCTATTTTATTTATAGACAGTGTCTCACTGAGTTGCATAGCACCTCACTAGGTTGTTGAGGCTGGCTTTGAATTTGCGATCCTCCTGTCTCAGTCACCTGAGCTGCTGGGATTACAGGCGTGCACCGCTGCACCCAGCTTAGTTTTAAAATCTATTTGTTAAAATTGAAAACTTTATTTTATTTTTCACATTTATGGAGTTTTGATCCAATGTACATTTGTTTTGTTTTCTTTTGAGAAGGGGTCTCACCCTGTTGCCCTGACTGGTCTTGAGCTCTTGGGCTCAAGCAAGCTCCCTGCCCAGCCCCAGTGGCTGGGACTGAAGGCAGGTACCACCATGCCTGTGTGTGTGTGTTCTTACATGTAGGCCAATCGCACATCACTTCTATTCAAGAGGCTTCTCTCCACTCTGCTTCTTTATGACTCTGAATTGAACTGAGATGATGAAAGACTTTCCCACACACTTTATGTTTATAGGCCTTTGTCAAACAATGCACTCTCCCCACACGTGGCTCGAAGGCTTTGTTGATAATAAAAGCTGTCCCACATTATTTAGTTCTCTCTTCTGTGAGTCCTTTCACTTTTTTAAAGATTTATATTATAATTGAAGGCTTTCTCACATTCATACAATCACAAGATTCCTCTCCAGTGTGTCCTTTCTCGTGTATGAAGTAAATTGAGATAATCAGGGGCTTTCCCACACATCTTACATTTAAAAGGTCCACTGTGTTTTATGTCGCGTCTCTGAATACGTTTCAGAGAAATGTTCTCCATACTTTACATTCCCAGAGTTTCTCTCCAGCATGAGTCCTTTCATTCATTTGAAAGCACTGGCCATGGCTGCAGGCTTTCCCACATTCCTTGTGTGTACATGGCTCCTTTCCATACTCTGACCAGGCTGAACTCTGATGAGCCTATGTAGGATTGAATGACCAAGGAAGACTTATCCAAACACATGGCTTTCACAAGGTTTTATTCTAGGAGGTGTTTTCTTTTTTAGATTATGACCTGGAATCTGGCTGGAAGTTTCTCCACATTGACTACCTTCTTCGTGTTATCTATCATATTACCTCTGTAAGAAATGAGACGCACACAACCAAGGGTTTGTTTATCAATGATTTTGCATTTGTTCATAGGTATTGAACTTACACTTAAAAATAAATATATATTTTTGTGGTGTTGGGGATGGAATCCAGGGTCTTAAGCATACTAGGCAAGCGCTCTCCCACTGAGCTCTATCCCCAGCCCCTTGGACTTCTTTATAACATTATCATCAAAGTATAGACTCGATGCCCTGTCTGGACTGTCTGATTCTGCATGGACTGAATGTTCTGCAAGATCTGTACCACAGCTGACATCAAAACAGCAGTACACACTAACCAGTTTTTTTCTTTTTCTTTCATGTGTGTGTTGCTGGAGATTGAACCCAGGGCCTCACGTATCCTAGGCAAGTGCGTGCTACCACTGAGCTATATCCTCAGCAGATCTCGAGTCTCAAGTCCTGGTCCTTAAGTCCAGCAGATGCACACTCACTCAGACCCCACAATAATCAGGTCAGGAATCTATGGAGGCTTCTCATTGGGTGAAGCTGAAGGCTGTTTGAAGAGAGGGTCATAAGGAGAAGCTGCTGTTCTCATCAGGGTCAAGATGTGGCTGTAGAGTTGGAGAGTGGTAAGGATGATGTGAAGAGTTGGGATGTCCATCCACATGTCCTCCTCAGGCTCTCCAGCATGGGGGCATCAGTGTCGGTTGGCTGAATGTCTGTTCATTTGTTACATCATTTATTCTGAATTTTGGGGTTTCTGCTTGCCCTTTCAGTCCCTATCAGCTGTTACTGGGTGTCTTATTGATGTCTTTCATTCTAGGGTTAGGACATTCTAGGGTCTGGTGGTTTCTGCCCTGATCTCTCTCTTCTGACTTTTATCAGGGTGAAGGCAAATGACAGTGACTTCACTCTGAGTTTTATCAGGGTTGTGGAAAATGACTTATTTTATTAGGCTATGCCTGATGACAATATTGAAGGGCTCTGAAGGCTTGTCTGGCAGGAATTCCAGTTTTATTTTAATATGGAGTTTTAAAATGGAGTTGCTTAGGCTAAGGCCATCTTTATACTGTGTGTGTAGACATGAATCCCAAAATTCTCTTGAAGTTTAACTTTCACTTTTTTTTTTAAAAAAACTATTAAAATCATACAAAAATATATCTTTTGAGAGTTTATTTCAATTTTTGTACTTAGTCTTATAAATTTGTAATAATCGTGTATCAATTCTTTTGTCTAAACCCTCTAGTTGAAGATAGTAAAATAAATTTGAAAAGCTTTCATTTAAAATTAGCATGACTGAATAAGCATAAGAGAAATTTCAGTTATATGCTTAGTTGACCAAGGCAAAAACATATTGTATGGAAGAGGTGAAATTTTTAAGAGAAGAGATCCTGAAAGTAATATTCCCAGAGAAATAAAATTTCCAGACATAATAAGAATTTCCAAAACCTTGAAATTATGGAGCTCAAACAGAGATCTACAAGAAAGCAGGCAATTTCTGGGTTCCAGGGGAAAAGAATATTGAATATACTGAGGTCTTCTCTGACAGGGTAGGCAAGTGGAGATGGAAGTAAAGATTTAGAAAGCTTAGGAAAACAGAAGACCTGCTGGCTGGAGGATGGGGCTGGCGTGTGGTGCTGCCTCCTCTTCTTGCACCTCCTCCAATGACAGGATTACTGTGTGATGAGAGAGCACAGCTCTGTGACATAGGCCTGAGTCTCACTCTCCATTCCTGAAGAGAACTCTCAGGATTCATGTGTCCAAGTGACACGTAAAATTCAGATGAGGGAGAATCCTCTCTTTCCTCTAAATAGCATTAATGCTGCATTGCTGAACCCAGCTTCATCACCTGGGCAATGGCTATGATCCTTGCTTTTGCATGTGGACTGAGGATCGCTAAGTTGCCCAGGCTGGCCTCAAACTCACCATCCTCTTGCCTCAGGCTCCTGAGTGACTGAGATTACAGATTTGTGCCACCATGCCCAATAACATCAATGGGTGTTTGGTTTGGTTTGGTTTGGTTTAGTTTTGGTACCAGGGATTGAACCCAGGGTGCTTAAATACAAGCCACATCCCCAGCCCCTTCCAAAATATTTATTATTAGAGACAGGGTGTCGCTAAGTTGCTTGGTGCCTCGCTAAATTTCTTCAAGCTGGCCTTGAATTCCCAATCCTTCTATCTCACCACTGAGATTTCTGGCATGTGCATCACCATGCCTAGCTATTAATGGGATTTCTTAATACTGTATTCAAATGAGCTACTTTGCAAACTCTAAACATCAATGTCATATTTAAGTACTTTTTTATTGTTGTTGTTTTGTTTTGTTTTTGTGGTGCTTGGGATTGAATCCCTGGCCTCACCTCACACATGCTAGGCAAGTGCTCTGCCACTGAGCTGTATCCCCAGCCATAAATATATATTTTTAGAAAAAAATGTTCTAATAATAAAAAATTTGAAAATGGCATTATGTTTTATTTTTTAATTTAATCTTATTTTTTAAGATTCTAAGATCCTTTCAAGGAACAAAGTTTCTCTTACAAATTACCTTTGATTTCTCCTGGGATTTCTGCACTGGTCTTCAATGTTCTAGTCTTCCAATTTTATTTCTAAAATGTAGACCTAGAAAATCATTATGAATTACTTACACCATTATAAAAAATATCAGATTCTAGGCTTATGGTACACTAAGGCCATCTTGATTTATTCACCAAAGTACTCCCTTTCCATTTTCTAACTCACTGAGCAGCATTGATGAGCAAGAAACTCTTGACCTCCAGCTAATCTGGCATGATCTCACGCTTACCTTCAAAGGCCAGGTTCCTGAGGGCTGCCAGCACTGCATCTTGGTAGAGAGTGTTGTGGGAAGGATCCAGCAAAGTTCTCTCCTTCCAGCTGAAGTTCAGCCTTCAAAGCCCAGTGAGTCCCGAGAGATCTGCACGTGCACAGGAGGAAGGGTGATGCCGACAGCACTGGGGTGTGTACTCAATTCATCAGTTCACATGACTCTGAGGTCCCCAGTTATTTATCTCATGACTCGTTCATCAGATTCTCACTCTCCATCTTCACTGACTTCTTCCTGCACAGCTGTTCTAATGTTAGGACTGAAGGAGTCAGTAAAGCAACCTCCTGTTGGTGAACTCAGTGATTTAAAACACGGTGCCTGAATCACCCCTACTTTCTCTCTGTACCCTAGGTCTACAGTACCTCTCATACCCAAGTCCTACTAACTCTGGGTGGAAAAGAGTTAAGAATAGCAGTCCTGAAACTGAATAACCTTACAAGTGCTTGGTCAAAGTTTTCAACCTTTGCCGGCATTTGGGAACTGGATTTTGGAAGGCACCCAGGGCTCAGTGAGCCTGAACTGTTTATGTGAACAATATGGTATTTACTTAACTCCTGTTTTTTTTTCTCTATGGTAGTTTGGAATTTTATCCCATGCTTGGCAGAGGTAGCCTACTTGATCAGCCCCCAAATAACTCTGAGCCCGAGTCTCAATGGACTTCTCTCTCTTTTTGTCCCAAAGTGTTACTGTGTGAATTAAGCCTATCTTATGTGATTATATCAAGAGAACACTTGGAAACATGTACTGTAGAACAATTTAATTAAGTAGGATAAAACACTAATAAAAGCTATTTCATTGCCCTAATGGCAAATTTTTATTTTTACATTAATTAATTATTTATTCTGCAGTATTGGGCCTCACACCAAGCATTCTACCATTGAGCTACATCCTGGCCCTTTTGATTTATTTTTTGAGACAGGGTCTCACTAAGTTGCCCAAGCTGCCCTCGAAATTGGGATCCTCCTGCCTCAGTTTCCCAACTAGCTGTGATTATGAGCGAGCACCACTGTGACCAGATGAAGAATTTTAAATTTTTTTATTGGATATGTTAAAAAAGAATGAAATAGGGTTGGGGTTGTGGCTCAGTGTTAGAGCGCTTACCTGGCATATGTGAGGCACTGGGCTTGATCCTCAACACCACAAAAAAGTGAATAAAATAAAGTATTGTGTCCATTTTTAAAAAAGGGGGGGATGAAATAGCCAAGTGTGGTGATGCATGCCTATAATCCCAGTGACTTGGGAAGCTGAGGCAGGAGGATCGTGAGTTCAAAGTCAGCCTCAGCAACAGCAAGGTGCTAAGCAACTCAGTGAGACCCTGTCTCTAAATAAAGTACAAAATAGGGCTGAGAATGTGGCTCAGTGGTTGAGTACCCTTGAGTTCAATCCCTGGCACCACCTCCCCCGCCACCAAAAAAAGAATGAAATAAAAGATGGCGCATATTCTTAAAAATGTCACCTTTCAAAAGTAAATTTCAAAAAAAAAAAAAGCTTTTAGTAGTCAACAGAAATACTTTACCAAATCTAACAGGAGTAACAAGTAACTGACAATACTTATAGCCATCTGAAGAAGAAAGTGAAAACTTGACCAACATACATAAAAGATTTTAAGATCAGCAGATCACATTACTGACAAATAGACCAAGAGAGGGAAAAGAGCCTTCTATGGGCCATCATATATTTGGTAGGCTGTCTATTGATGGAGCAGGCATTGTAGAATAGTAGCATAAATCGGGATCACTTTAGTACATAAGGCAGGAACAAAGTTGTATCAAACTAGAAACATGCATCCTTTCCAATTCAGAGTTAATAATCAATTTACTCTTTCTACAAATGTGAATGGTAAATCTAGCCTCTTTGAGAAATCACAAATCTTTTTGGTGCCAGAATAGAGAATTTTCTCATAAAAGAAACAGAGCAAGCCATGAAGAAATGTACTAACAAGAGGTAGAAGACAAACAAAAAGTCGGAGAGAATATCAGCCATACATGCAATATAAAAGAATTAGTGTGGGGCTGGGATGGTGGCTCAGGGATAGAGCACTTGCCTAGCATATATGAGACACTGGGTTTGATCCTTAGCACTACATAAAAATAAATATATAAAGGTATTGGATTCACTTACAACTAGAAAATTTAAAAATAATAAATTTAAAGAATTAGTGTGCAGAGTGAAAATAAATTAATGAACACATAATTAAACCATGGGGAAATGGCCAAAACATATTTAACAGAAGAAACCTTGGTTTGTGTGTGTCCCCTAAGGGTTCATGTGCTAGAAGCTTGGTCCCCAGTGTGGCAGTGATGAGGTAGGGACTAGCAGAAGCTCATATGGACTCTGCCCTCAGAAGAAATCAGTGTTGGTTCCAAACCAGCAGAGAAGGACATAGAGGACAACAGTCCTGCTCCACAAGACAAAGAAAAGACAAAGATGCTCAAGCAGCAGCTCCTCCTAGATTCACAGGAGAACCGAGGTCACAGGGCAATCCACTGTCCCCAAGTTGCAGAGATAAAAGGCAGATCAAGAATCATCATTTCCTAGAACAAAGATCAATAAGCAGCAACTTCAGGATTGCCCTGTGAGCAGAAGGAGGTCAACCTAAACTGTAATTAATGAATTGCTGGGGATAAGCAAGGACAGACCCGAGACTTAAATACTTGAAAAGGCCCAGGCTTAGGGAACTGCACAAATTTGTAAACCTCACTGTCAGAAACCCAGTGGATTCAAGAAAAATGGCTTTCTGCTTCTGATAGGGAGACGAAAACAGCAGTTGTTTAGAAATATCCCCAGAGAATTCTGTCCTCCTTAAGTTTCCTTCAAAAGAAAACTGTAAGCCAAAAGCATAACCAAATGGGATGTTCCCAGAGCCCAACCTCTGGGAGGAAGGGAAACACCCAAGTAAGTCCATGTCCCTCTAACCTTTCTGCCTCTACCAGTGGAGGGGTGAAATGACAAGTCACCAACCAGGAACACAGGCTTCCTCAAAACAAGGCCTGATCACAGGGCAGTGGAACACTTCTCCCTGCCAGAGCATCCTGCACCACCTGCAGAATGCACTGAGAACAGAGCCTTAGAGCCCCCTTGGAAGTCTCCAGGGGCACGCCAACAAATTGGGTAACAATGATGATACCAATGAATGTCTAGAAACGTAATCTACAGAGGCAGTCATGAAAAAATAGAAAATCTGAGCAAGCCTACAACAGAGCTTGATACAATAATCAAAAACTCCCCAACAAATGAAAACCTGGGACCAAAAGGTTTCACTCTTGAAATCAAGAACTGACACCATCCTCCTCAAGTTCTTTCAAAAATCCCTACAAATGAAACATTAAAAAAAAAAAAAAAGCAAATGAATTAATCATAAGAAATGACTGAAAACAGGCTGGGGTTGTGGCTCAGTGGTACTGTACTCACCTAGCACGTGTAAGGCCCTGGGTTCAATCCTTAGCACATAGAAATAAATAAAATAAAGGTATTGTATGCAACTACAATTAAAAAATATATATTTTTAAAAATGACTGAAAACTATTTCATAGAAGTTTAAAGACATGAAGGAAAATGCTCAAAACCAGGGGTGACCAGTAGAAGAATGTGTCACTTTCTTTCTTTTTTGTTTATTTTTATTAAAATCATGCATCATTTAACAAGGGGAACACGTTCTGAGACACATTTAATTAGGTGTTTTCATTGTGTGTACATCAGAGTGTGCAACTCTGGTGGGACAGCTCCTACACTCAGGCCATGTGCCATAGCCGACTTTTCCCAGGCAACAAACCTTGACAGCTTGTTACTGAACACTGGACCCTTAGTTTAAAACACAAACACATTACACAGCTGTACAAAATATTTTCTTTCTTTATATTCTTATTCTATAACCTTGTTTTAACTTCTTCAACTTTTTTTGTTAAAAACTATGACATAAACATGCATGTGGTTCATTTCCAGTTTTAGCACACACAAAAAATTTTAAATGTATAAAATACAATATTGCTTTCACACAATGGACAGGTATAATGCAATGGGTTTTTTTGTTTGTTTGTTTTTGTTTTGCTACCAGGGATTGAACTCAGGGGCACTCGACCACTGAGCACATCCCCAGCCCTATTTTGTATTTTATTTAGCGACAGGGTCTCACTGAGTTGCTAAGCACCTCACTGTTGGTGAGGCTGGTTTTGAAGTTGTGATCTTCCCGCCTCAGCCTTCCAAGCTGCTGGGGTTATAGGCATGTGCCACCATGCTTGGCTGTAATGCAGTGTTAAGTATTTGTGTGTCTAAGGTACACCAAAAACAAGATAAAAAATAATCAATGGTACACAGGTAGAGGGTACTTACCATGAATGGAGCTTGCAGGACTGGACGTTTCTCTGGTTATCAGCGAGTGAAGGGTAAATGTGGAGGCTGCAGACATTCCTGTACACTGCTGTAGGCTTTATCAACACTGTACACTTAGGTTATTCCAGATTATTAAAATATATAATTTTTCCATTCTTCCATAACAAATTAACCTTATCAGACTTTTTTTTCACTTTATCAACTTTTTAAGATGTTAAACCTTTGACTCTTGTAATAACAGCTTAAAATCGACACATTACACAGCTGTATAAAAATCTTTTCTTTATATCCTTATTCTAGAAGCTTTTTTTGATTTTTAATTTTTCTTAAACTTCTTAGCTTTTTGTTAAAACACTATGACATGAACATACGAATGAGCCTAGGCCTACACAAGATCAGGACCATCAATATCACTGACTTCCCTCTCTCTGACATGGTCCACTGGTAGGTCCTCAGGGGCAATAATGCGCATAGTGCCATCATCTCCTATGATGACAATGCCTCCTGAGGGACCTGCCTGAGGCTCTTGAGGTGTTACTCTTCGCAGAAATATGTCTGTGGTGGTTTGCTTCCTTTTTGCCTCATAGATCTGTTTGTACACAGATAATGCACCATGAACATTCTTCTCTATTAATGAAAACCTTTCAGGGTTGGGGTTCATGCTTTCAAACTTTTTAAGGAGCTTGTTGAGGTCTGTAAAAGCTTCTGCTAGACCCGACACTGTGAATTTTCTTGGAAGTTCTTTCTCTTCTTTTGCAGTTTCCTTTTCTCTTGCTTTTTCTTGGGCTTTGCGCTCCTGGTCCAACGACTCCTCACTGGTAAGTTCCTCAGGAACCACCTCCAGGAGCTCCATGTCATCCTCCATGTCATCCTCCTCCATACTCAGAGTAAAGTTGTTGGCCATCTCAACCACAGCCTTGTCCATGTTTGCACCTTCCTCTTCCTGAGCAAATCCTTTGAAATCATGGACAAACCTCTTGAGTGTCTTCTTCCAGATGCCATTCATACATTCCTTGGTGACATCAGCACTCCCTTTCACATTATGTAATGAATAGCGATTCTTGAATCGCTTGAACCACCCAGAGCTGGCAGTGAATTCAACATTATAGTTAGGTCCAGCCTTTTCCTTCAACATTGCAAACAAACTTTTGGCTTTAGCTGTAATCATCATAGTACTGAGAGGGACCCGCTTCCGTGTCTGATCTTCAATCCAGGTCATTAGAAGTTTCTCCATATCTGATATGGGCCCTTCTCGAATTTTTGTTAGTCTGGTGGCCTTCAATGAGGCAGATCCTTTAAGAGCTTCTGTCACTTTGTTCTTGTTCTTCAAGATTGTAGCTATGGTGGAATGGGACATCCCTGATTGGCGAGCAATAACCATTACTGATTTTCCACCTTCATAGTCCTTAATCAATTTTAATTTTGTTTCTAGGTCAATCACTCGATGTGGCCTCTTACTGGCAACTTTAGCAGTGGATTTTGTGTGAGTAGGAGCCATGATGAACACAATAGCATAAAATTAAATTGAGAACAATCAAAAGATGCAGTAAACCACCAGCTGTAGGAGGCTGCTGGTGACTACTGTCCTACACAGGGTCCGTTGTTGGCTGAAATGTCATTATGCAGAACATGACTATGTAAAGTAATATATGACCATTGGAGAGTCTGTATGACAATAGATGAAAAAATTAATTAGATAATTGGAAGCATTGACAAATTGCAAGAATAAATACTTAGGAAAGGTCAGACAGTTATTACACGTGCTCCAGCAACATTTCCTATTAAATCTGAATTTATCCATAACCAAAAACCTAGCCATTTTCCCCACTGTATAAAAAGTTTTCAAGGCATTAAAACTTGTGGACAAAAACAAGAATGACACTGTCAACAAACTTCAGCCAGGAACAGTGGCACATGCCTATAATCCTAGCTACTCATGAGTCAGAGGCAAGAGGATCACAAGACCAACCTGGGCAACTTAGCAAGACCTAAAAAAAAATTTTTAAAGGGTTAGGAAGCTAGTGATATAGCTCAGAGGTAAAGTACCCCTAGATTAAATCCCTGGTGCAAAAAAAGGCCGGGAGGGGCAGGACTGAGGATGTAATTCAGTGGTAAAGCACACCTAGGTTCAATTCCCCGGGACTGAAAATAACAACAATAATAATAAACAATAATAAACTTGGGTTGGGTGTGGTGGTGCATACTATTCAGGAGGCATGAGGATTCCAAGTTCCAGGTTAGTCTGGGCAATTTAGTAAGACCCTGTCTCAAAAAATAAATTAGAAAGTCCAGGGGTGTAGCTCATGGTAAAGCACCCCTGGGTTTAATCCCCAATAACATACAGAGAGAGAGAGAGAGAGAGAAAAACACCTTGAGAGCTAGGGATCTAGCTCAGTGGCAAAGCACTTGCCTAGCATGTGCAAATGCAAGGTCCTGGGTTCAATTCTCAGCATGCAAAATAACTAATTAAAGAACAAACTCGAAACAACCCAAGTCTTTTAGCAGTAGATGGTGAGTGAACTGTGTGAGCCATGCCTCAGCAGCATGTGTGCGACAGACTAAGGCAAAGAAAGCACAAGAAAAGCCCTTTGGCACAATATCAATGGTATGTTGATAGTAATATTAACTTACTGAACTCTGAAAAGAGGCAAAATTCTGCTTCACTATAAACAGATGGTATGCTCTACAGAATAATGAAAACAATTGGGCAGTGGTGACTTCTGAGTGCAGATAGGTGGTGACATCAAGGAGTCATAGCATAACTGACAATAGTCAATTGAGTCACTTGGGTGGTGAGTCCATGCATGTTTATGTTCTTATTGTATAAACTAATTATAGAATAAATAATTTATTTCAAGACTCTCTTTGACACTTCAGATCTTATTATTCAATCCACTCGGGTTCCAAACAAGAAAAACTCTTACACCTACGCCATGGTATCCCATGCCTAAGCACATGGGCACAGTGTGATCCAGTGGCAACAAGATCCCACAAAGGGAACAAGGGGGAAGCAGCTAAGGAAAGCAGCCTGCTTCACCCACAGTTCACAAGGGGACCCACACTCAGAAGGTGAAACACACTCCCAAGCCTGAAGACCACCCTCCTGTGCAGGTGAGAATTGAGACCCTGAAAGAGGAGGAGACAGTAGGGTGTGGAGGTGGCAGAATTAAATTTCTTGAATCACTGCTTAGGAGTGAGCCCTCTCAACCTAAACTAGCAGACAGCCCCTCCCTTAATGTTCTCTTAAGAACAGGTTGACCTCAGGGGAAAACATTCTCTGAAATGCGACACTACATCATCCCCTGATCTCCACCTTCCTTCCTCCCCCTGGTATTGGGGACAAAGGGACACTTCCACTGAGATATATTTGGCCCTTTTTATTTTGAGACAGGGTCTCACCAAGTTACCCAGGCTGGCCTGGAATTTGCCATCCTCTGGCCTTATCTATTGTCATACAGAATCTCTGGCCTCAGGGATTACAGGTGTGCACCACCATGCAGGACTCCACCTGTTTTCTACTCATTTGCTCCTCATTAACTGTTGAGATACTAGGGGTTTCTCCCTATTACAATATTCCTTTCAAATAAAATCACTTCACACCTCAATCAGGATTTTGTTTGAAAGACACTGTCCAGAAACAGCCCTAGTACAAATAACACCTTCAGAAAAGGTATTAAGGACAGAGTGTGTAATTCAGTGACAGAATGCTGGCCTAGCATGCACAAGGCCCCAGGTTTCATCCCTAGAACCACTAAAAAGAAAGAAGGAGAGAGGACATCAAGACCCCCTCTTCGACCCAACCCCGTCAGCATATGCATCCCCAGCTGTCCAGTACTTCTTCTCAATTTAAAGGGTGCCTGCCATAGTTGGTGTGGGCAAGCAGGACACAGAGAGGCTCCCCAGGAAGAACCAACCAGGCAGGACTTCAATGACCTCTCTTTGCAGAATCAACTTTGGCCTTATGGAGTTTTGGTCTCAACAAGGTTATGCACTTACATTCATTCATTCATTCATTCACTGCGGTGCTGGGGATTGAACCCAGGGACACTCTACCATTGAGCTTCATCCTCAGCCCTTTTTAAAATTTTTAATCTTGAGATGGGGTCTGGATAAGTTACTGAGGCTAGCCTCGAACTTTTGATTCTCCTGCCCAGCTTCCTGAATTGCTGGGATTACTGGAGAGGTCCACACCTAGTACCTATAAAGTTTCTAAAGGGAACCCTCTACCCAAAGACATTCTTTTTTTAATATTTATTTTTTAGTTATAGATGGATGTAATATCTTTATCTTATTTTTATGTGGTACTGAGGATCCAACTCAGTGCCTCCTGTGTGGCAGGCGAAAGCTCTACCTTTGAGCCACAATCCCAGCCCCCAAAGACATTCTTAAAAGGCGTCTGTGTCTAGATAATATAAAAAAGGAGATTGGAAGATTCTTACAGTGGAGTGTCAGGAAGTTTTCCTCTGCTTTACTCTTGGTTGAAAAGATTCCAAACAAAATACATCTTTTAAAGAACGTCATTCATTGCTTTGTGGGAAACTAAGCAATTAAAATGCGATGTCCATATGAAACGCAAAACGAAAGATGAATAGTTGACACTGATGTTGTGAACTGGAGGAGGACAGTTGGCATTTGGGCATGGGGACAGGGAAGTGGATTTGTGACACTGTTTCCCATACATCTGTAAAACTCAAGGGGAAAACGATGACCCTGGAGCTGGAAAAGGAGGGACAGAGGACCCCACCGACCACAGCCCCTTCAGCGCACGAACCCCTCACGCGAGATGTCCCCTCGACCCTTCCGCCGCCACCGCACAGTCGGGGGCGACATGGCGCTGTCCAGAGAGGGCTCCTGGCTCGGCCCAAGTGGCCGCGCAGGTACAGGAGAGGACAGTGGGTCCAGGCCTCCCGCCTGGCCCCACCCCGCGGGGCCGAGGTGCCCGAGGACCCAGAGGCGCCGGCGGCTGACAGGGCCACAGACTGCGGAACTGAGACAGGGAGGCCGGGGTCCCCCTAGGGCCGGTTCCACCAGCCTCAGCCCCATCTCAGAACGCCCCGCCCCTCACTCACCATTTCCCCGCTTCCGAGAGCTCCTGGGTTCTCCCCACGGCTCCCGCAACCGGCGTACAGCTCGGTGCCGGAGCAGCAGAGCGACCCGCCCCCCGTAGCAGGGAAGCCAAACCGCAGAGGAGCTGGGGGGTGCGAGAAATAAGATCCCGCGAGAATGTTGAACACCCGCGGGCGCAGCGGGGTCGCGCCACCGGATTGGACAGCCCGCAGCCCACCCCTGCGCTCCTGATTGGATACGGTTCAGGCCCCGCCCCCGAATATTGAAAGAAGAAGCCAGCGGAGCGGGAATGACAGGTCCTAGCCTCCATCCTTTCTCAGACTGGGTTTTCTCTTCTCCCCAGAACCTTGCCTGATGAAGGGAGGCAAAGTAGGTGAATATTTGCATTTCGGGAGAACTTAACTCTTGGCTTTCCAGAGAAGACACTGGCATCTTTTTTATAGATCTCTTTTTTTAAATGGTAGATACACACACACACACACACACACACACACACACACACACTATGTGGTGCTGAGGATCGCACCCAGTGCCTCACCTGTGCTAGGCAAGCGCTCTACCACTGAGCCCCAACCCCAGCCCAGACACTGACATCTTACCTGTATTCATGAAGCTTCCCCGCCCCCACCGCCTTTTTAAAAATTTATTTTAGTTGTAAATGGACACAATACCTTTATTTTATTTATTTATTTTTATGTGGTGCTGAGGATCGAACCCAGCGCCTCGCACGTGCTAGGGGAGCGCTCTACAGCTGAGCCACAACCCCAGCCCTCCCCTTTTTCCTACTAGACTCACAATGGGTCACAATGGGCTCAGGGAATTCCAGACTCAGCGTCCGATGAAGCAATCCCCTGGCCTCACAGGAGGAGAGGATCTCAGGCCAGGTCAGACCAGACTACAACAGGAGGAATAGCTTGATGTCCTGCAAAGGTTAGGAATGTGATATGAGGTTGATGTTATCAAAAGCATGACCAAAGCTTCCTGAAATTTTATCTTGCAAACTACTCATTTTCATCCAGGAAAATGAAAACACTCTAAGGAGAGAACAAACACATGAAAGGCATGGAAAAACTGGAATTATATGGCTTCAATATTCTATAAAGGAATTGAAAAGAGAGAAAAGTAAACATTTCATGTAGTTCAGGTAAGCATCCTGTTTCACCCACAGTTCACAAAGAAACCCCACATTCAGAGGTTATCATAATGTAGTCTTGGGAGCAGATTCTGCTGAAATGGAGCCCATTGTGGATCACTCCCTGGTTCTGAAGCAGGACATCTAAAGATTTAACTCTGGGAGCTCACCATGTGCTGCTGTCCCCTCCTTATAGTGTGGAAACTCTCCCTTTCTTGATACCTTAATATTCTCCAGAGGGACACCCATTTGGAATCACATTGGAGTTCTGCCCTAAATAAACTGTCAAAATCATAAACTCTTTTTCCAGGAGACTGAGTCTCTAAACCTGACCTTCACAGGGTATAATTGTGAAAGTAACTCCAGTAACTCTGTAAGCCACAACCAAAATACTTATCAGAAAACAGTCCCATGCAACCAGAACCACAGCCTCAGAAAGGACAGGCACACACACCCCCAACTACATCTGCATGTGGGTTCCCTGTCTCCCAGAGCTCTTAAGTTGCTTCTATTAACTATTCTAAGCAGCTGGAGACCACATCCAGGAGAGGGCGCCTGCCCAGGACGCACCAAGAGAAACTTCATTGCCCTCCTCTGCAGGCTCAGGCTTGGCCTCAGTTTGGAGTCACTGGCCACAGGCCGATGCTCCCCTCTCTATAAGTTATTCACCTGCTCCAATACCAATATTCCATTAGTTAAATGAGACAAAAACCTTCAATTGTATTGAATAAGAAGTCTGCTGGGGGCTGGGTCTGGGGCTCAGTGCTTGCCTGG